GCCCACTAAGTTTAACAAGCTTTCTACCTCCTGAGTGACCCAGTTGTGGTATTTACATAAACATACCATGCAAGTACATTTAACTGATCAGATTCGGTCTATCAACGCACAATGTAACGCTGTATATTCAAAAATCTGTTTCAGAAAATGCTCAGAGGAAAATGCTCACATTTCAATTCTAAGGGTGGAAAAATAAAAAAAATTTTGTGGGGGAGAATACCCCCAGACCCCCTTACTAGTACATACGATACCACACCAAACTTTTTGTCACCAACAACCATCTGTCATCTCTCCACACTCAATATAGTATGGTCCCTTTTTGTAGATGCCCACCCCCCACACATCATGAGCTAGATTAAACAGATTGTCCTAATATCTAACTTTACCTGCAACGCACACCTGTTTCATTGCTGTTAATTTTTCAATCCACACTGGGGGGGGGGTCAGAAAAGTTTCTACTTTTATGAGGGGTGGGGGAAAAGTTTGCCTTCAGTCTGGAAGGGGAGGTTCAAAAAAGTTTTCAATCCTTATTTTCCCCATTTCCCAACCCCCCTCCCAATAAATAATGACCACTCCCTAATAGCCTTAATTCAACCTGATTCGTTCTTTCGTTGTTGTTGCACCAACAAAAATACATTAATTCATAAAGAGTAAGTCCAGAGTACAACACAACATGAAAAACACAGTAGAATTCGGTGAAAATTTAGCGAAATTGCCAGAATTATTTGCCCACTCATCACGCAACCGCCATTTTGAAACTGAACTATATAGGCACTGAAGCATACTTGCAAAATCACCCATAATATCCATAAAATACACCGTTGTACCTGCGAAATGTTCATTTTGAACTGTCTGTGCCAGTGTAGGTATAGTGCCAATAGTACAAGCTTTCGTAGGAGAATTTCGACGTTTCGAACGAAGGGCTTTCGCTCGAAACGTCGAAATTCTCCTTATAATTTTCAGGTAGTTGCATCCCTACCAACGAAAGCTTGTTGACGATATAATATGTTAATTAACCAACTTATTTTATTATGTGTTATTTTCTGCACGTTTATATAGTTTACAGGTACAATAAATATTACTAATGTTAAATGTTATCCGTATGTAAGCCCCCCTGTATATAATCCCTCCCATGCAGGGGGCCGCCCCCCCCTCCAACATTTTATAAAGGGGAAATAGCTTTCTCCCCTCAAAACTTGAAGTATTTGAAACGGCATATATCATATTAATAATGTATCTGCAATTGTTTATTGTTATTTTAATAAGAACATTTTTACGAGTATATAAGTATGACATATAAGTGCGAGTTCGATTACATTGATCATCGGCAAATTACTGTAATACTAAAGATGCTGTAATGTCCATAATGTTAGCAAACGCTTTGTTAACATTTTGAACTGCTATATTTGTAAAATATGATATACCAGTTATAACTGAATATCTGACACTTTTCCGGTTTGCGATGCTTGTAAATGGATATAAACTAGACGTTTCTGCGGGTCTTCCTTTGTTATGAGCAGAACTGATGCACAGAACAGACTTTACATCATCTTTAATCATCCATCCTGGCTCACGGATAGCTTCCAAATCATAATAACAGAAATTGAAAGGGCTTAAGGTTACAGAACACCTTTTAGTGTTAATTTTGCCTAAAATTTTTTTATTGGTTTCCACGAAAGCATTAGACTAGTTCTACTATCTGACAAAGTTTGAACGAAAAATGTTGAAAACTCGCGTAGTTATTTAATAAAATACATTTCGCTGCAATAAGAAAAACATTGAAAATGTAATATTCAAATTCAATTTTCTCCCGAAGATTTTACGGGTAATTACTGATTTTCAAACGAGTTGTGCTCCTGCGGGTTTTGACCAATTTTTCTCAAATTTTCACAGGGCATAGCTAAAGACGTCAGTTTCAAAATAGTGTTCGGCTTTTTCTTAGTTTTGGATATTTTAATAATAAAGAGCAATTCACTCAAATAATTCAGAAATATATTGCAGTCGTCAAAGAAATCGCCATATCAGCGGAATGACGAAATAAACAAAAATTTCCGAACACAATTTTTTAGAACAACTATTTTACTGTATAAAAATGATATTTTCATAAATATAACTTAAAACCAGCAGGAGCACAACTCAAAAGCGTAACGGTACCGCGATTTAAGATTTTCCTGAATAATTCTTATATTATTTTATTGTTTGTTAATTTTACAACTTTACCATATTTTGCATGCACTGGAGAACATTTGGTGAAAATTTGATGAAAATCGGACTGATATTGAGCGCTCAGTAGCGATTTTCCGCAAAACGCCAAAATGGGTGTCCTGTAACCTTAACGAAAGTGGTAGAGAAGACACTGAAAATGCCATTGCCCACGATTACAATATTCTCAAAACATTCCCGTGATTTGGTGTAAAATTCTTGCCCTGCCACTTTTCAAATATGAGGGATAGGGAGCTTAGCAGCATTCACACACTTTATATATACATTCTCCTTCTCATTATACTATTCCCGGGGGTCAGGTATTTTGTGGGATTGTGAGGGGTCACACCCACTGACCAGGTGGACGGGGCCAATATGGGAACTTTAGAGGGGGCTTTAGTACCTTTTCCATTCTGTTCTGTTTCTTTCACTCACTTCACATTCCCGCTGGGACATACCATTTCCAAAGGGATGGAACGGTCACTATACCCATGAGGGTCTAGCCATTATCCCATGGCAGTCGTGATGGCGTTTTGGGGGCCCATGACCCATTTGTTCTCATGCATTTAACCATCCAATTTAAACAATTCCAATTACTTTCTTCTGTCTTTCAACACAATCAGGACACGTGTTATCTTTCATGTCCTTTCTACAGCTCAATACTGAATATATTATTCCTTTCTTGCGGTCGCAGAGGTTGAAATCTACAATCAATATCAACACCAGTATCACAGATAGAACAAGCGCGACCAGCAATACTTTTGGTGAAGCAATATAAATCAATACATCGCTATATAGCTTTCCGTCTCTGAAATAAAATTGGAAAAGTAATGTTTAGGTTATAGTTGCTAAGCATTGATATCGGGAATGCTCAGTTGTAACAATGTTGTTACATCATTGGTCAGTTGTAACAATGCTGTTACATCATTTGTCAGAACAATGTTTTTACATCATTGGTCATGCAGTTGTAACAATGTTTTTACATCATTGGTCAGTTGTAACAATGTTGTTACATCATTGGTCAGTTGTAACAATGCTGTTACATCATTGGTCTGAACAATGTTTTTACATCATTGGTCATGCAGTTGTAACAATGTTTTTACATCATTGGTCAGTTGTAACAATGTTTTTACATCATTGGTCAGTTGTAACAATGTTGTTACATCATTGGTCGGTTGTAACAATGTTGTTACATCATTGGTCGGTTGTAACAATGTTGTTACATCATTGTTGATAACTTGTTCTTAGGGTGCAGCATGCAATTTTGTTCAAGCCTGTCGATATCAATAGGAAACAGGCTGTTCGTTTGTACGCTTGCACAGTATATCTAAACAGAATATTTCACTGCAGATTGAAAAGGAGCTTATAATGTGAAAGTCTTCTATAGAACATGGTATTTACCTGAATCGTGCGTCTCTTTAGTCTTTAAAGATGATAGATACGTTGTGTTTAGGTTGTTAACACTCTCCAGGCTTGGCTTCACCTCTCTTGATTATTTTCGAGATTGTCGTCGGCTTGGCGTTGTATACGGCCAACAACCCGTGTCAGTTTTGATCGATATATTTTCCCCAGCACCAGGAACGCTGGCGTCGCAGTCCCTCACCGTTTTCATGTTCTCATACTTTGTGGTAGCAATAAAGCCAGGCAAGCATTGACAAAAGAGGACAAACCTCTGTCCTTGGACAATCGCCAGTCCGTTGGGGTTGGGATTAAGCACAAGGCGCAGTTGAGGCTTGCTACAGAATGATGATGGGCTGCAGTTCCTCAGATTCTCAGGATTGTTAGGTAGTTTTGCCTTGAATTCAGTTTCGTTCACTAAATAGAACAAGGTTTATAGTTAACTTCTCTGCCAGGTTAATATATATTAATATAATGCACTATTTATTACACATACTGCTTGTTCCCAGCTGTTGTAATAAGTCTGGAACAGGTTGTTTTCGCCTTGTTACAAGGTTGATGACTGTAACAAACTTGCTACAATTTGTTCCAACAAAACTAATACAGGCTGTCTGTAACAAGTTGCTATGAGCATGTTGTCATCAATGTGTTAACAACTTGCTACGTGCATGCAGACGATATCAGACTTGTTGGAACTACTCGCGAATAGAAAGAGAAAACCAAAAAATGTTAAAGAACGGGAACCCTACAAACTAACTTTCTGTCCTCTACTCAAAAGTCAAAAAAAATTTTGTGATATAAGCACTTTAACAACTTGTTCCGTGCAGACTATATCAGACTTGTTGGACAACTTGTTGTGAGTCTGTTGACCTCATCAACCTTGCTAACACATGATAACAACTTGTCCCAGACTTGTCAACAATTGGGAACAAGCACTGCGAACACATCTTGTTGACAAGTTGTGAGATCTTCATATGTGCAATGGCAGCACCTATATATAGCCGTTTTAACGCTTACTTTCGTTAGAAGCAAGATTCTTGTGCAACTTGTTCTTTGAGACTCTGTGACATCCACACCGGAAGTGTGGTTGTACACGACATATTCATAAAACTTTGCTTGATTGTTGATATCTGCTGCTACAATTCTATTTCGTTCTGTGTTATAGCAATTGGCAATTCAAGAAGCCTTTTCCGACAAACGATGATGCAGCGATGTACTTTCATAAAGTGCGGTTCTTTTGATCAGTCGTTAAAAATTTTCGTTGTAAATTGTCCCGACTTCCTCAAACAAATCACCTGCAACTGGGTCTAAAAATTAAAATTTAGAAATTGGTTACCGAAGCATTTTTCATTACTTATGATTTTATAGCATTCCACAATATTGGAATACAGATGACTGTGATCATGCAGCACAAGTGTCTACCAAAGTTTGATTCCTACAACATACAGCCGTTTGTCTAATTTTACCTCAGTCGCATGTGAGAAGAATACTTCCAGTTTGAGGGTTTTTATTGATGGTATAGATGGAAATTTCAAGCGGTAGATTATATATATAGAATTTTCAAACCTAACCAGAATCAGTTGCGAAAAATGCAACTGCTGTATAATCTGGTAGGAATCGAACCTGTGGCTCTGCGATTCTGGTGCAGCGCTCTAACCAACTGAGCTACAGAGTCCAGTTGACGAGAATTAAAATCAACTTCATGTATTAATTGTTATCCTTACTGGACCTCTAGCGAGAACATACCGTTAAGAAATGATAAAACTATCGAGTGTGCCCCGATAAAGTTAGTTTGGTTTCAGGTTTCTCCTTGTAGTAACACTGATGTCTGGACCATTGTGGGTTGTCTCCAGGCGGAACAGCAGTTTAAAATTGGTATAGAGTTATCCAGTAAATTATAAAGTTAATTTCTAAAGTCTGGTCTAAGCCGCGAAAATCAAAACTGAAGTTTATCTAAATAAGGACAAATCTTTATCCGATTTACAAACATTGATTAAACATTCATTTCTTTTGAATTTTCTTCATGAATTATTAATAAGTTTCATAATTATTGTTAACTCTATACTTACCTCACCTGGCCTGAAATACTGGCCGCCGTTTACAAAACCTTGTAAAACAAAAGCCACCACGAATATTTCACTGAGTTCACAATGCTACCAAAAGCTAAAACGGATAATAAAGCTATTAGCATCGATGAATATGTATTTGTACCCTCTCAACATTTTGTCAGTACCTAATTTTTAAATAAATATAATCATGTAGATTTGAAGGACGTGAAAGCTTTTATTACCTGCGTATAAATTACCAAAGTGTGTTAAAAACGAGGACCTTGCTAACCGAGTTTTGTTCACATACTTTGTGAGGTATTTTATACACTGGTTAACTATTACAAGATGATAACGACTTGTTCTAGACTTATAACAACAACTGAAAACAAGCAGTGCGAACACCAGTCGTCCTCCTGTTATCGGCTTAACAACAACCTGGTTACAACGGTAAGAAATAAGTATAATATATATTAACCTGGCAGAGAAGTTGACTATAAACCTTGTTCTTTTTAGTGCACGAAACTGAATTCAAGGCAAAACTACCTAACAGTCTTGAGAATCTGAGAAATTGCAGCCCATCATCATTGTGTAGCAAGCCTCAACCGCGTCATGTGCTTAATCCTAACCCTAACGGACTGGCGATTGTCCAAGGACAGAGGTTTGTCCTCTTTTATCAATGCTTGCCTGGCTGTATTGCTACCACAATGTATGAGAACATGAAAACGGTGAGGAACTGCGACGCCAGCGTTCCTGGGGCTGGGGAAAATATATCGATCAAAACTGACATGGGTTGTATATTGGCCGTATACAAAGCCAAGTCGACGACAATCTCGAAAACAATCAAGAGAGGTGAGGCCAAGCCTGACGAGTGTTAACAACCTAAACGCAACGTATCCATCATCTTTAAAGACTAACGAGACGCGGATTCAGGTAAACAGCATGTTTCATAGATTCTCAAGATCGAGACGCAGTCGAACGTAAATTGTTACTTGACTTCACGTTTCTGTTATCTTTATGTCACTTTATTGTAAGCTAGCTTGTTCAGTTGTGCATGCTTGCTATCTATTGCCGCCTGCTTTTATAAGGCCACTCATAGGCAATTTAAATTAATCTTGCATCAGGGAAGTGTCCGTAGTGACTGTGGTCAACCACACAGAGTTACAGAGTTTAATTAACCGATCACGAAACATTCTCAGACTCAGAGTCGCCAGCACCTTCGAAAACATTCTCAACCTTCTGACGGATCTTTAATATGTTGCCACCGGTATGGAAAGCCATAGGTGTCTTAAGTGATTAAATTTCATTTCATCCGGTGCTTTTAGCATTATACATCGTGCTTTTATCGTTATATATTATACCGCGTATAATGTCTCAAGCACCGCGTATAATGTCTCAACCACCGCGTATAATGTCCGAAGCACCGCGTATAATGATAAAACCACCGCGTATAATGTTAAAAACACCTCGCATAATGTTGCGAGTACCGCGTATAATGTCGAGAGCACCTCGTATAACGATAAAAGCACCACGTATAATGCTAAAAGCACCGGATGAAATAAAATTTAACCACTTAAGACACCTATGGCTTTCCATACCACCGCTTTGTTTGTATAATGCGTGGGCCCAAGTAGTCGACATTCTGCGGAAACTTGTTCTAAAAGAAAGTATACATTTAATTGCTCTAGCATCGGTTATTACACTTTTGCTACTTGCATAGTTGAGGCCGGGAGAAAGATATTACGTAGTTTTCTGAACATACCAATCACGAAAGTCATCCATATGTAAGGATCTCTTTACAAAATTCATAGAGTAGAACATAAGTTGAAATTCATTGCATAATATTGAACTGGATGTATAATTGGGTAGTTATCGGCGACCGGCGTAATATAACATTGCGAACTTTGGCGAAACGAGGCTCCTCGTCTGGAAGTTAGCATCGTGTTAATAAAACATGCATCGCTTTTGGGTTCGCTAGTATATAAAGGTGCTTTGTATTCACTAGCATATACTGTACAACACTCTTCCAGACAAAGGCCCTTTCAGTGCAACTAAGTGGCTAATGAATTATATTATTAAAACATTAGATAAGATATGTTTTTTGAAAGAATTACAACAGAAAGACATGTTCAATGAAAGACTGTAGTTTTCTCCAAGCGAGAACAGAGCATTCCTTCTTGACCTACATTGGCCTACTGAGAGGCTGATGAGGGTGTACATGCAAATATATATTATACTGTATACTCCAATAACAAGCGTGGGGGAGGGGGAGGGGCAAGACTATTTGTCATTCTTCGGATTGTGAAGTAACTGTGACGTCATTGTGTTTACGAGATGTTGTTAAAATTTCTCTCAGATGGAGGACATAGCGTTTCTAAGCCTTTGAAAATCAAAAAACTCTTCAATTCGGCGCTCGACTTAGCCTAAATGGTTAGTCGGTGGGTCCGCCTCCGCAGGCATCGTGAATGAGTCACAGTATGTTATATTTTCTCTTTTTAGACAGTCTGACGCCTGTTTTCTAGAAGCTCACTTACACTCACACTTGTGTAGATTTAATGTGAGCTTCCCTGGAGTGTCATTGGACTTTTTGCGGAAAAGCTAGAGGGTTAGTAATCGGTCGATTTTCCAAGCCGTTATAACCTATTGATAAAATGCCTAATTTCTCAGTAGTTGAGCCAAAGTTCAATTTCTTGGAGTAATTGTGCGGATGGAATACGGGTATCAAACACATATAGCAATCTTTATCCATGCAGATTCAAATTACCGTACATGGTCTGTGGCTTAAACTTACAATAAAGCTTGCGCGGGCGAAATTATCATTCAATATCAATTATCACACAAAGATCACTGAATATTTGTCACTCAATATTAAACATATAAGTGGGCAAAATTCATGTCAATTTGCTAAACCCGTTTATGATAGTGCTGATAGTTTGGTAGCTTAATAAATTCACTGGGAAATTTAGCAGTGTATTAAAGCTGGATTACAGTAAACATTATTTGATAGTAAAACATTATTTGATAGTAAAACATTTGCCGGTCGAATTTAGTACTATTAACCTTACAGTAATTCTGTTTATGATAATGATGATAAATAACTTTGTATATTACTGTAATCTAGAATGAAGTTCATATATGTCACGGGTGGTGTTATACGGTATGTTTTACATAGTATATAATAAAAACATACAAACATAGTCGTAATATTGAAATGTAAATCTTATAACTAATTCGACAATTGCACGAACCGCAACCGCAAATTGCACGAACCGCGACCGCACGAACCGCGACCGCACGAACCGCGACCGCACGAACCACAACCGCAAATAGCACGAACCGCGACCGAACCGCAGTGTTAATTAACTTACTTCCAGGAAGTACTGCACCTTATTATGTGACTACTTTCCAGCTATTCAAGAACAGCACTGACACTCAAGGGAAGTTCATATTGAACCTCCACTCTTTGAGTATGAGTGTGAATGAGCTTTTAGAATACAGGCGTAAGTCACTTGCATAATTATATTCCTGCAATTATCTGTGCTGAGTAGACTTACTACAGTAAAATGCACTGTACGGTTCAGCCGGAATAAAAACCGAAAACCGTCTGAATAAACACAATTTTTATAACAATTTTTATAACTTAGTTTTATAACTTAGTTTTATGAAAAGATAAGACGCTGGATGATTCAGGATAAACTGAATTCTTGGTCATTGGCACTCGTTAGCAATTTTGTAAACTTCAGCCTATCAGCATTTCAGTTAATAATTTTGTGATTTCTCCTAGCCTGCCATGCCAAAAAATATTACTATCAAGGCGGATATTTGCCTCTTTGACGCCCGAGCGTGCGTAATTGAAGTACTGTAATTACGATGATGGCGGCTAGTGAGAAGTTTATAGGACTACAGATGAAGGTTTAAAGCCGATATAGAGTTATATAAAACGCTCGTAAAAGTTTGGCGAAATTGTGTGAAATACTCGGCATTCAGGCATACATACATTATCTTTATGTTGTTTTTCATGAAAGTGTAACCCGCACACCAAAAGCGCAATGCGTTATTCATGTTCACGCGTATCACACTACAAACATATTACACTGCACAAAATACATTACTTATCTGCCTGTTGACTTATATACTGCTCTATTAAATGTATTAATTGACGAGATATTGTGAATCATTATAAACGTCGCTTACAGCTGCGTCGCGCGACGATTTTTCGGGAATATACATGCTATATAATGTCATATAAAGATATAATACATACTTATTACTTATTCATAGTAATGTTAAAATTAATTAGGAAGGTCTTCTTTATTCGAATTGCTTCCCCACGAGCCTTCTTCGCCAAATCCATCGTCGCTTACTGCATCGGTAAACGCCAGAAGAGTAATCCGAGCCATAAACAACTAGATATTAGCCCTGTCGACCAAAACATTGCTAACACAAATCGCCGAAATGACACGGGAAATATTACGCCAAATTTTAACATTTTGGTACCATATTGATCACTGGATTCCAGGCTTTCAGGATCCGTGCGTACTTCTGTCGTTTACGCATACTTTAAAGAATACAGCCGCTGTATATTTCAACCACGGGTTCACCGTAGTAATAATCTACATCAATACCGCGGCCGGTCGCTCAAGTTCATGGCCAAAGTGACACAGGATATATTGCCAGGGGCGCACATTCAAAAAAAAATTGGGGGGGTGTCCTAAGTTCTGGGACCGACTTTTGTAGTATTTGTGTTTGTAAGAAAAGTCAACTATTTAGTCTATCTTAAGGCATGGCCGGTACGAGTGAATCGGTTAAGGCAAGGCGTTCGGTTTAATATCACAGTCTTGTTGTTATAAATACAAATACAATTAATATAAAATTTAATATAGTTAGAAGCCAAGCAACTATGTAAAAAATATATACAGGGACGGTGTCAAAAAGTAGACCGTTAGAAATTAACCTGTTATAATTTGAATTTATAATATATTAGCCTTTCTAAACAACTCAAATTGCTTAGAAAGTTATAGCAATTGACAATAGATCTAGATTTTAATCGGAAGAATGACGATCGGAATTACTTCACACGAAAAAGGCGTTGAGTTTTTGGCAGCTCGGCCCAATGATCAACAACAGTGTCTAGGTCAATCGTATCTGTGAGATCCTTTTCACATCCAAGAGTGATTAGATTCTTTCATCACTGAACGAATGGCAGTCTTAATCAATTTAAGTTTTGAAAAGCTGCGTTCACTCGATGCGGATGTAATCGGCGCTGTCAGGAGAAGTTGAAAGCATCTGCTTGTCAAGGGAAAAATCGTCTGCTTTTCTCTAGCACAACGCGCAGCGTCTTCGACTGTTTTAATATCTGGCATGTTATCATCACAATGTTGTCTAATCATTGTAAGTTCAACATTCAAGACCTCGGTGTCAGGCTGTAATGACAGAGGAAGCAACTCTGTTAGGGACTCGATATCTTCTCGTTTAGGATCTTCTTTGTACGGTGGAAGAAGTAGGGAAATACACGAGGAAATAATGTCGAAGGCAACTTTAACGTTATTTGAGAGAGCAGTGATTTGGTAGTCAAGGATTTGAATAAACACTTTCCGATAATATTCGTTCAGATCCAAGCGTGCTTCAGTCTCAGGTTGCTCGTCAATTCGTCCTGGTTGGCGTCTTGGACGATGATGTCGCTGATATTCTTCAATAGCGTCGATTCCAATACGATGCGAAAATATAATGGCTGCATCTATCTGCTTGTTGAGATTTTCTTCATCGTTGCGTAAGTGGCGCAATGTAGCAATGGTTCCTTCGGCAGACTCAAGGGTATCGACGACGTTAATGTCAACTGTCTGAAGTTGTTTCGTCAATATCTTGGTTTTCACCATGACATTCCTCATGAACATAACCATAACAAGAAACTCGAACGAACGTACTCTTGCCAACAAATTCTTCGCGTTCGTTTTGGTCTTTGTGTCTTGAACATTTTCCAATTCTTTTAGCGCATCGACTTCATAGCTCGACCAAACAGCTCGAATGGAATCTGCACGGGCCACCCAACGTGTCGCAGAAAGATTTGTCAAATCTAACGCATTTTCAACATCTCCTTCACTAACTTTCTCGGGAAACACGCTATACCGTTTAGGACTTGACGTAAAAAAGAAAAACACCTCCTGCAGAATTTCAAACATGTGACACGCAGCGGTACTTGCCTCACAGCTATGCTCCACTGTTGTATTGACACGGTGTGCAAGACAGGGAAAGTAAGGGACTTCTCTTCCAAGATGCTCCTTCATTTTCGCTTGACAGCCCTTGAAAATACCAGACATGGACGAATGTAATCGTAGGACTGGAAGACAATGTTGGCGGCACTTATGCTGTTTTCGTTTAGAGCAGCCAGGATTCCTTGAGCATGACCTTCCCCCTTCTTATCTTCTATCTCTCGCATGTCCACAAGACGCTCTCGTACATGTCCCTCTTGATCTACATATCTTGCAACCACAGAAAGTTGATCCACATGGGAAACATCGGGTGTTGTGTCAGCGATGACGGCAAACATCTCAGCTTGACATATTTCGGTGATGACTCTGCTCGAAACATCTTTCGCCAAGAGCTCAACATATTCATTTTGAGATCTCGAACTAAGGTAGTCAACTCTGTGCGGTCGCTTTGGGGCGTCAGCCAACCATCTGCGCAGGATGGGAAAATGTCTTGCTAGAAGGTTGACAATTTGACGAAAATTTCCGGTTCCATCTTTCTCCGATGAAGAACCACGAAACGCTATCCCTTGCCGTGCGAGAGTCCTTGCAACGTCCAAAAGAATTTTAATCGATTCACGATTGCGCTGGATCTCAGCTTCTTCTTCGATTAAATTACTTCTGCGACCTTTATCCAGCAAGAGGTCAATGTTGGCGGATTTTTTCTGAAAGGCCACTAATGCTGCGAGAGCCGCACGATGACTTGAGCTTGAGAAATGTTCAGCTAATTTTCCTGGCTTGTTCTTTCCGCGACTTTTCATTTTGTGCCAAGCTTTAACGCCGTCCTCTGCCCATGCTTTACAGCCTTGGTCATGTTTTGTGCCAATACCAGATGGAAACAGCTGGCAAACAAAACAAAACAAAACGCTGCATCTTTTTTCACCAAATATTCGACATGTGGATATGTATTGAACCACGCAGATGAAAAATGGCACTGCTTAGACGGATGAATATCAGGGTTTCGTGGATATCTACCAAGTTTTGGTTGGAACGGACCTTGCTGGATGACGTATACTTTGTCTTCATCAGTCAGAATGGGTCTTCTACAGCCTGGATCACGATCAATTGGAACAAATTTAGCAGTAATTGATGCTTCTTCGATCACCTTTTCTTGGGCATTAATGTGTGCCAGCACTTCTCGAGTGTTGGAGAGGAGAGAAGAAGAAATTTGTATATTGGCACCACCTGTTATCCTGACAACTTCTATGCATCTACAACGTTCTCGCATGCCTGCTAAAGTTTATTATGAACTATCAAGAAGATTTGGAACCCGAAATGTTTCAACAAGAAAATAGTGATGGATTTACTGGGGGGGATGCGGGGTGCACCCCCCCCAACCAAAAGGTTGGAAAGCAGTGAACGTTTGGAAATGTTGCTATGACAGTTTAATAGACAATTCCCATTATAGACTAATTTTAAAACTAGGCAAGGAGATGCAAATAAATCATCACAGCTAGAAAGAGCATATTAAAATTAATAAAATTACAAAATTTGGTTGCGAAATGTTGTAAAATGTGAAAAATATAGCCTTGCAAAGTTTGCAAATTTTGTATACTTTTGTATTCCGTGCGACATTTTCGGCCTAAATGTGGTAGGAATGTGGTAGGAATTTCCGCAAGCAATACAAAAGTATACAAAATTGGCGAACTTTACAAGGCTATATTTTCCTCATTTAATTTACAACATTTCGCAACCAAACTTTGTAATTTTACTAATTTTAGTATGCTCTTTCTAGCTGTGCTGATTTATTCGGGTTTCCTTGACTAATTTTAAAATTAGTCTATAATGGGAATTGTCTATTGACATCTGCTGAAATGCTAACTTATTTCCAACTACACACTCATAAATAGTATTCTATAGCTGTTGGCATATTCGAATATAAAATACATATGAACCTTTAAACATGCACATAATATAAACGCAATTTCAAAATCAGATATCGGCCGGTTCCACAAATTTTCAATCAAATATAAGAATTAACTTACTAGTCAATTGCAATATTTTCGGGATTTTGCAAATTAGTTGCAAATAACAATTTTGTAATCAGAAAGGTAGTTTTAAAATAATTTCCTTTGTTGAAATATATAGAAACTTTAATAAGTTGATAATTTTTAATGTCACAGCAACCTATGGCATTTGTTGACGTTTCAACGCCTTATTATTTTCTCTACTGTTTATTCAACGCGCGTGTTAGCTCGTATTAGTCAATGAAAGCGGACTGAAATTCCCCCCAAAAAATTCGTGCAAAGAAAAATGCCTGGAAAAAAATTCGTGCAGCCATTACGTCAGAGAAAAAAAATTCGTGCAAGCAAACAGCAAAGTACAAATGGTCTTGAAAAAAAATTCTTGCAGAGGTTAAATGCATTAAAAAAATCCTGCAGAGACATGAGACTGAAAAAAAATTCGTGCAGCAAAAATTTTATTTCCTCCTCCCGAGATTTCTAACGGTCCGCCCCTAATGATTCTGGAAGTTGGCAGCGTAGACTGCCTTCGCTAAATGTTTTGCTTTAATTTGGTTATGCAAGATACTTTATCCGGGCAAAAATGTGTCTAGTGCCGTACGTGTATAAATGAGTTGTAAATCTGGACAAAGCATAGATAACTAAATGCGCAGTTTTCAAAAGTATTTCCTCGCATTCGAATTCGGTAGATAAGTTAAGTGTCCCACAATATTTAGAATAAACATGCCGTTTATCTTTTGCCGTACATCAAATTTTGCCGTGCTGTCATACCATTGCAAAATATTGCAGCTACAGTCGTGTACGTGCCATGTAAACGGGACGTAATTGTTAAGGTAACAAATTATCTGAATTGTTGCTAGGTTAATTTTGCAGTTTCATCTCGCTTAGTCGTGGCTTCATAAGGGCATGCTTAATTGTGCTAAAAACAAATTGACATGCCTTTGATTTTACGGTTCGCGACTTTCTATGACCACGAATATTATTTATATGATAGCCAGATAGGAGTATTACTCCTCTGCGCCGTGAGAAACTATACCATGCAGCGTGTTAATATAAGTTTAGTCAACTAATAGCATAGTTGCCCGGGTTTCTTTTGTTTCGACAGGGTTGATTACTAACTAATCGCCCGCTGTAGGGTGGGTCACACCCTTTGTCTCCCTGCCTACTACGCATTAGGCAAGTGCCTCAACCACAGAATCCTGCAAGGAACCTGCCTCGTCCCTCGTCGCTTCAGTTGGGAATAGAGATCAGTGGAAAAACAATGGGAGCGCGGGGCTTAATGGGAATGCGAGAGTCCGCATCCCACAAGCAAAGAAGCAAATGTTTTGGCTTAAATTCGCTGATTGCAAGTAGGGCATGTTTGTCCATTTTTAAATGGGAGCGCAACTATGCTATTACAAACTATCAGCATGGCTTTTCGGGAGATTAGTGATTAAATGACCCCTTACCCTCGGCAGGTTTGCGGAATTCCCTCGGTCTTCGCCCTCGGGGATTCCACAAACCTGCCTCGGGTTACGCGGCCATTTAATCACTAATTTCCCTCAAGCCATGCTATTACTTATAACATAGCCTATCGAAGGGAAGATGGCTGTGAAACTCATTAGAATAACAATATAATTCATTATCTATGTTGGTCAACGTTTATTCATAAATCTGGTTGTTTCACCGTCACGTGTGTATTGTATTTTTACCAAATCCACCAATAACAATTTCCAGTTTCCCTATTGTTCGAGTCACGGATAGGTCACTTTCCTAAAACATTGCTATTGGTTAGTTGGGCAAGAATTCAATACACACGTGACGGTGAAGGACCAGATTTATGAATAAACGTTGACCAACATAGATAATGAGTTATATTGTTATTCTAATGAGTTTCACAGCCATCTTCCCTTCGATAGGCTATGTTTATAATAAGCTCTTTTCTTGTATAATAAGCCCATGGGCTTCGGTGGCGAAGTGGTTAGCGCAATTGCCTTTCATCTATAAGGTCGCAGGTTCAAATCTCAGTGAGAACTTTCTCAATGCGACTCTAACCCAGTTCTCATGTGAAAAGAGTAAAAAGTCAACGCTCTGCCGAAAGTCGTGAGTTTTCTCCGTGTTCCTCCCAAATGGCCCACAGTAATTGGCACATGCTGTTGTGGTGACCCTGCCCTAGTTGGCAAAATTTAAATAAATAAAGTTAGTATTTTTGCACAAGTGAACATAACAAATCCTACACGTTGATTGGTCAAATTTGACGTATTAAGCTGTTTTATTATATGGCAAGCATTTGTTTTGATGAATCGTGCAATTTGATTGGCTGCTGACGAGGCAGGATTTTCCCGTATTGCCCAGGGGCAATTTTTATTGCCCTGCGACGAGAGCCAAGTTTCAAACGGCAAAAAGTGTCTAAAAGTCTTTCAAACTATTCAAAACGAAGAATAATAAACCTAGACAAAAGAAAAGGGGTACCTTCTCTGGTTAAAGAACTTTCTCAATATGTTTTTGTTAGCAAAAGTCGAAATTACAAGGTAAATTTTACAATGTTTATAACTATTATAAAAGCAGTCAGGAATATAGCTGTGTTTTAACTTTGTGAATAGCTGCAAATTTTATTTGCAGATAGGCGAGGAATTTGACACTATCCTAAATGAAAACTACAACTAAAGCAGCCACAGATTTATACTTTTTTCCCTGAAAATTTTTGTTTAATTTTTGTTCGATAAAAAGAGACATATTTATGAGTTGAAGCGAACTAAAAACGTCCTTGTCCATACTGTTTATTAATTTTATTCAGTGGTGCCTAAATTACTTTGAATTTGTACTCGAGTAAAAGTAAAAGTAGAAGTAATTAACAATAAAACGACTTGAATAAGAGTAAAAAGTACTTGAGGCAAAACGTACTTAAGTAAAAAGTACAAAGTATCCTTAAAAAATACTTGAAGTAGAAATTAAAAGTAAAAGTACTATTGTCTGTAGCGTGTAGGTGGCTTCTCCAATGGATTGACATACAAAAGACACAAAACGCATTATATAATATTTCACGGCATGGTCTACTTTGCAGACCACGCTGAAGATATAAGAAATCCATTAAATAAATAATGCTTATAAATAAGCCACAAACGAGAGATTCCAGACGCATGTATAGAGGTCCTATTACCTATCCCAAAATTAAAATAAACAAGACGCTTGCTCAAGGTGTTCGCTCCGTCGGTAAAGGGGAAGGGCAGCAACAGAATTGCTTGGGTTGCATGAGGTAGGAAGTTGATGAGGCGTGGTATAGCACCTTATTATAACCTTAGCATTTTGGCAAAGAGTAACATAATACTGTACATACAAATTAAATCAGAAATGAAAGATATATCTCCAGTACTTTAATTATACTTGGTTTAGTCTACAGTATATATTATTAATAGTCTACAGTTTAGTCTACAGTATATATTATATTATGATCGTATACAGTTCTACTTCAAATGTATAAATAGTACACACTTGCACATCTGGTTCCTAGAAGGCTTGGGATAAGTATCATTGTGAAATTATAAGGTGATTTATAGTATCTGGTGTTCCATCAAATTTCCACTGTTTTATGTCAGTATTGTATTCTGGTTGAAAAATTTTTCTTTTAGGATAGAGAATGTTTCAAGAGAATTAGTAACACTTTCCAATATTTTTCAGGGACATAACCATCAATCCATTATACATTAATAATTATAATTAATGAAGAGCATAGCCGTTGATAACCTCCTCATGATAACCAAAGTAGTGAGCAAAATTTCACAGATGACATAGTCATAGAAAATATGACATGGTCATAGAGAATATGTTGTGTAGGTCCAACATTACCAAATCATCAATAGCACAGTATAAATAAGGGGCCATTATTTCACCCACCCACCCCAGATAACGTCCATCGGATCGATATCCAGTCCCATTTTGACCGATAGGCGATAGACTAACGATTACTGTACTTTACTACCGTCGTTGGCTGGGATTGTATTTTGATACATTATTTAAATAGTGATTTGGTTTTCGCCGGAGTGACAATAAACAATACAACCAAGATATAGCCGTTCTCAAAATTAAAATGTCCATAATACATGTCATATTCTTGTTGGTAGAAATTGGCAACCGTGGTAAATTATAAAACAATATTTTAATGGTGACCTTGTTTACATGATATGTCTACTGACAGTCTACGAAATTAGAAAAGTTATGCGCCTGCGGAGGTTCCGTTGAACTTAGCCTTCAGCCATCTGCATATAGCCTATATAAGCGTAAAAATTTGGAAGTATTGAAGAAACAGAATAGCATGTTAAAATCTTACCAGTTTAAAGCTTTCAACTGTCTTGGTTACCTAAGAGAGTGGTCATTATTCATGGGGAGAGGAGGGGGTTGGGGAATGGGAGGGGGGACAAACAAAGTTTTACCCTTATAAATAGGGGGGTTCATAAAAGTTTTTGAACTTAAATACCATGTCTAGAGTTCTGATTTCTATAATCAAATAGCAAAAAAGAAGACTCTGAAAATGCTATTTCCAACGATCTAGCGACTCAAAATTTTCAAAATTTCCCTGCTCGGCGCCAACCATGGTAGCGCCTCGCGATCGTGGGAGCCAGGCCCACTAAGTTTAACAAGCTTTCTACCCCCGGAGTGATCCAGTTGTCGTATTTACATAAACATACCATACAAGTACACTTAACTGATCAGATTCGGTCTATCAATGCACAATGTAACACTGAGTATCCAAAAATCTGTTTCAGAAAATGCTCACATTTCAGTTCTAGGGGTGGAAAAATACAAAAAAATTTCTTGGGGAGAATACCCCAGAACCCCCCCCCCCCCCCCCCC